AAAAAAAAAAAACAAAAAAAAAAAAAAAAAAAAAAAAAAAAAAAAAAATAAAACCAAAATAAAAAAAAAAAAAACAAAAAAAAAAAAAAAAAAAAAAAAAAAAAAAAAAAAAAAAAAAAAAAAAAAAAAAAACGAAAAAAAACAACCATAACAAAAAACTACACAAAAAGGTACAAATTATTGAGGCAACAAGTATAGTGAATAGCTTATATCACCAAAATATTTGGGTTATTGGTGGAATAATTGGGTTGGATTTTTTTTTTTTTTAAAAAAAATTAAAATATCTTTTCAAAATAACCGAAGGACAAATAGTTTTTTTTGTGTTGAATCATCATATATTGGTTCCATGTGTTTTATAATGTTTTATATAGCATTTGAGAATATCGTTTAAATGAGCGATTCAAGTTTATTTATTTTTTTTTTTATGATAGGGAAAAAAACTGTCACTGTCATTTATGCTTTCTATTAAATAAATAACTATTCCGACATCAAATTATCATAGCTACTTGTTCCAAAATTTAGATTACTACTAATGCTCGTCATATCCACGTCTCTGCCAACCGGATCAAACGTTGTATTTTCAAACAATTTCATTGTCAAGCTGCTTAAAAAGCACGGAATTGATCCACGTTCAACGACCCAGAACTTTATAAGATCATCTAAACTTTTGATGTATTCATCGTTACCGCCTCCAATCAACTGCATGGTACCGCGGTTATCGTCATCCGAAGTGAAAACGAGAGAATGATCATCTTGTTCCGAGTACATAGACGCCAGCCGAACCCTTCCATTCTCGAGGAATTCCAATTTGTAGCCTAAAAGACTGTACACTGCTTCTCTGAACTCTTGGGCCTTGGCCTTCCAGGCCTTTTTTAAAAAAAAATAAAAATTTGAGATCAAGTTTTATAAGAGTTGGTGGAGTAAGCGAATCTCACATACATCCAATAACCTTGTAATCCGTATTTCCAACTTCACGTTCTGTTCCATCAAATGTTTATTTTCTCCTTCCAGGTTCAAGAAACTCTGGGTTGGTATGACATCAATATCTTCCCTGCCAACACCTTCGTCATTAAACTCTGTGTCATATTTTAATTGAAACTCTTTCAACTTTTCAAGGAGCTGATGATTTTCTTTTTTCAGTGCCTGTAATGTACTTTGTCGGATAGCATAATCAACCGATGATGGATTCTCTTTCATCTCAAGTAACTTTGAAGTAAGCGATGAGAGAGGATAAGTTTGAGCTTTGAATCGGGAACCAACCATGTAGAAATGGATTGACAAAACTCACTCGCGTGGATTCCCTGTTATACTCTCCCCTTCCGACCGCCTGTTCCAAAGAAACAATTTGTTGATCAAGTGACGATATTTCTTTCTTCAATGACGCATTCTCGTTCTTCAGTTCCCTAATAACTTTTCGTTCAAATAATCAGCAGTTGATCAAATTGTTTTTAAAACCGCGCTCCGTAAATTTCGGTTATCTTACTCTTTTGCTGTAGTTCATTTTGCTTTATCAGCTCAGCAGAATGGATTTTCAATTCGGTCTGTTCAAGAACGGAAACTTGATTTTGTAGAGAAAATATTTCCTTCTTTAAATTGGCGTTCTCATTCTCCAAATTAAAGTTTACTACACATGTATCAAATTCATTTCGTCAGACGAATCATGATTTGCTTAACACGCAAAAAAAAAATACCCATGTCGCGCATCATCCTTACTTGATTGCAGCTCTTCATTTCGCTGCATAACCTGAACCGAATGAAAACTCGCATCAGCAGAATCTGATGCCTCTTCTGTCTGCTGGATAGCTTGTAATTTACTTTCGCGTGCCTCGTCCAACTCTTTTTTGTATTCGGCAAGCATTTTCTCGAGAACTTCAATGCGTTCTGTTTTTTGGGCATCATAATTACCAGGTTGTAAATGCTTCTCTTCTTCATCGTATGATTTCTTTTTTTTTTGTCAATATTTGTATATAAGTAAAGCTCAAATACGATAAACATGCACGATCCAACTCACCAGAGTGTTCGTGAGCATCTCTACTTCCTTTTGAAGTAATATCTTGGTTTTTTTGTATGATTCAAGCTCATTCGAGAATTTACTTTCGATAGCCACACGTTTGTTATTCAGCTGCGTAATCTGATTAATTGTGATGGTAAAATTATTTAATGAAGATTTCCGGAAATATATATTTAAAAAATATTGCTCCCCTTACATTGTTTTCATTTTCAGCGATCACAATATCTTTGCTCTTTATTTTCTCCTCTAAAATGCGTTCTCTCTCTTGCAATAACTCAATTTCGATTCTTCTCGATGCAAGTTCTCTACAGAGACTATATGCTGAGTTAACATTGACGACGTCTTTCTCCTTGTCAAGATAACTGGCCCTGTTTTTCAAAATTCATTAGATGAGTCTTTTCTTTGATATACAGAATAAGGATGTTTATCGAAACTAGTTCAGACCTTGGATCTTTTTAAAAAAATAATTAGACTATGGAATTTTGCAACAGGTTTAACATACACTAAAACATTCAGAGCTAGTTTCGGCAAAACATCCTTGCAACAGGAAAAATTGACAATATTATCAAAATAATACCATTCAACTTTCTCTCTTTTTAACATAGCATTCTCGGCTTCCAACTCCGCGGCCTGGCGACGGAGTGAATTCATGTTTAACAGCTCATTTTCATACGTCTTAACTTTTTCGTCAAGTATCTGAATACTCGGTGATAAAGTTTTCAAATGTTTCAGTTCTGACGTAAGCTCACGTTTGGTTTTCTCCAAGTTCTGTATATACTCTGACTGTTCTAAAATTTCGATGAACTTATTAACCAGTAAACGGAAGAGTATAATGGAACACATTATACCTTATGACCTAAATTACCTTGATTTAGCTTCTTCATATTTTGAATGTTGTCCAATTGAGGTGAGAGATCATGAAGTTCCTGCAACTTGTGTTGTGTCTCGGCCAGTTGCGCCTGGACCTGACTTAAAAGAGCCTGCCGGGAGGTCGATATTTCATTCTGTATCTGAATCTGATATATTAGAACATAGTGAAAAAGTATCGGTTAGTTCAGGCGACATTGTGATCCAAGTAATTTTTAATAGTGTTGACCTGTTGATTTGAACTTTCTAAGTTGTGCTCTAGGATTTTATTCTCGGATCTTAATGCTTCGATCATCCGATTATATTCGTTTTCCTTTGCTTGACTAGCGTTCCGAGCATCCTGTAATTCCTGCGTTAACCTGGCAACCTCATTTCTAAGCCTTCCTAGCTCACGAGCATAATTTTGCTGAATGCGAGAAAGAAAAGAAAGAAATCCATTATTTATCCGTAAGTTCGCGCAAACCCTCATAAATAATCCAGATAAAACTACGTACTGCGCCCTGTGAGAGCTCCAATTCGATGCGTTCTAATTTCTTCGATGTTTCAATCTCACGATCACAAAAAAATTTTCGATCGCTCTTCAGTTTCTGTAATGCCCAAAATTGGGGTATTTTGTCACATCATTGCTGGCATAAAACGTACTAATTGGAAAAAAGAAAATTATAAATAAATAACGACCTCAATGGACAAATTCAATTCCTTGATCTGAAGCTCTAAATTCTGTTTATCCGTTTCCAATCTAGCGATCTTACTTTCAAAATCACTTTTCGTATATTCTAGAGTAGCGATCTTGAGGCGAGTATCCGACAAATCTTTGACGAATTTCGGTGAAGCACTGCTAATCGACTTTAAAGATCCTTGAGAAAATAACGAGTCTTAAAAGTATACGGGAAATATTAACGCTCATAAAACGAGAAAAGGCCAATTTTGACATTTATTATACCTCTTAGTCCCCCAAGGTCCGGGATGAAGTTGAAGGACTTTCTCGAAGGAGTAATTGGGCTTGCACGCCGTTCTGAAAGATCCATTTCTACCCTTGTTCTCTAACAAAAATTAATCAAAATTTTGACAATACTATTTGCCTGCGAAACGATTATTAAAAAATTGTTAGAAAAGGTTTTAAATCAAAAACCAACCTTGAAAGGACGATCGCTAGCTTCAGATTGGGAAAACTGGCTAAACTGGCTTCCCCCGAAATTACTGTCCCCGAGTATACTGGAAACACTGGCGGTAGATGAGGTGGACTTCAGAAAAGGATTTCCTTCATTGTTTCGATCATATCGTTGAGGTTGTTTCTCAGCAGAACGCTTATATGGAGGGTAGGATGACATCTTGAGAACATTAGGCGAACGACTTGAAAAACTTTTATCAACAGGTTTTCAGTTTTCGGAAAATTATCGGTGTAATATGTACCTATTCCACGTGATATTATTTTGTATATTTATATTAGGGCAGCATTGGCCAATCAAAAATATGCATGCATGCGGTAATTTATTTTTTGCAATTATGTTATATACTATAGTCAAATATATATATTAATTTAATTAACTTGTTATAAGTATAAGAATCTTTAAGTTTAATCTTAAGAATAACTTATTATTTATAATAATCTTTAAATAAATATTTTTTTAAACAATAATTTATAGTCAAAAATTTGCTATTGTTATTTATTCTATTAAACTATTGGAATATAAGAAATTAAACAAGAAAATAATAAAATTATTTGTTTTTTTTCAAAAATCCATATTTCTAAAACTTTTTTATAATAAAAAATATTTAATTGAAATATTCTTTTTTATTTTAATTATTTAAAAATTTTATTTATCTTAATTTAATTTTTTATTTATACTATTTATTAGATTTTTATCTATAAGAACTTTTTAATATTTAATCTTTAAGTTTTATTGTTTTAGTTTAATTAAAATAAAAGAAAATAATTATTAAATTTTATTTAATTAAAATAATAAAAGTAAAAAATTTTAACTTAAAAAATATTGTTTTTTGTTATTTGAAAACTTTTTGTTTAAATCTTATTGATATTATAGAATTAAAGTATAGATTAATTTAATTAAAAAATTTTTATATTAAAAAAACTCTTTTTGCTGATTCTCTGACCATATATAAAAAAAATAGTCATAAGAAGTTTTATACTTCCCTACTAATAAAGTCTTTATACTTTCATTAAAACAACTTGAAACTTGTCTTCACTTATTTCTATTATTCTTTCTTACTTGTTTATAAACTTCTTTAAATAAAAACTTAGATCTCTGATAACCTGAAAAAAATTAAGTATATACTTTTTTTACTAAGGACAAAAAGGTTCTAGAAAGTAAAAGGACTGATAAGTAAAGTATTATTTTATAAAGCTGAAAGTAATAAGAAATAAAGGTTTTGTTGATAGGGAAAGGCTTATTATCCATCTTCTTACTTACTATTTTATATTTTCTTAAAGTATCTACTATTTTTCATAATTTTCTTGAGGAATTTTGACTATCTCAATTTGATCCTGAATTTTTGATGGCACAATATCACCTGAAATCTGATTGGTTGACATAAAACTTGTTATTAGTTGAATATAAACAAGATCTTACTGATATCTCATATATTTCGATAATGTTATTAATGATTAAAAGAGTTAATTAGTATTCTATATTCACTCCACTTCTCCAATTGGTTTAATTTATAAATCAAGTTTCATAAACTTAATAAGATATGAGTAACAAGTCTCCAAATGATAAAAAAGTTGCAATTTATTCAAGCTGAGGTTTTTCTCTCCTATTATTCCAATCAGACAAAGTTCAAGACCAAGGTCTTCTTTTTATCCTGATCAGGCAATAAAACTAAATAGTCTCTAGTTCATACTAAGCTTCAATCCTTTGATTATAATTAAAAATATATTTTTCAGAAGTTATTGAAAAATATCACAATTAACAAGAATTCCTATTATTTCAAGACTTTTCCACCATTACAAGGCAAAAGGATTATTGAGAAATCTAACTTTTTGAATAATAGAAGATGTATACCAACAAAATTTCTTTAACTAGATATGGTTGCTAGAAAATATTATACTGAAATAATATAACCCAATTTCTACTAGGTTATATAAGAATCTAGAATTCATTATAAGTCACCTTTCTGCTATAGGTGAATAAAAAATTACTGTTCAAAGAAGATTGAAACCATATGTATCCTGAAAATAAAAGCTTTCATTGGGTAATAAGTTTTCTCAAATAGTATACAATAAGAAAATCAAGATTAAAAATGGATAAGTTTTTCAGATAGTTAAGAAAAGAAAAGATATTTTAATCAGGTATTTTTTATTAAGAAGAAATCTTAAGAAGTAGGTCTTTGGAGGAAGCTAAAAATCTTTTTTTCAATTTTTATTTTTTTATTTTCTTGTTATTTATTTAGACATTTTTAGTATTTCTCTTCTCCTTTTTTTAATCCATCTTTTTATAGTTTTCTGTATTTCAGTGGCTTGATTTGATATATGGTAGTAACAATCTGTTAACAATAATGCAATAAATTAGGAGAGTTTTTATCCAAAGATACTGTGGAGCAAAATATTGTTCCCAGGCCTGATCTTAAAGGCTTTTATGCTTACAACAAGTTAGTTAAATTAGAATAATAGTTTAGTTATAGTAAATATTATGTTGCTTGAATAAAAATGTATTTATATTTTCAATTGATTAATAAACTAATGTTCTAACCTAACTATGAGTATTCAAAAAAAAGTATAAATTAATTTAATTATTTACAATAATGATCTGTAAGCAATAATATTAATAGTTAAAAGAATATTTACTTGAACTGTTAGTGGAATAATAAATCATTTTCAAAACTACACTTAAAATAACAATAGTCAAAATGAGTGAGTTAGTTAAAGATTTAGCTTTAACATCATATTGATATATAAAGTTTATAAAATATTTAATAAAACTTATATAATTAGCCTAACAAATAGAAAAAAAAAAAGTATAGATTAGTTTAATTAAAGAAGTAAATAAGATTAAAAATCAATTAACTTTTTTTAGTTATTAATTTTTTTTTTTTGAGTACCCGTAGCCAGGTTAGATCATCAGTTTATTAATCAAATAAAGACAAAAATATATTTTCATTCGAACAGCATGATACATACTACAGCTAAACTATTATTCTAATCTAACTAACTCGTCGTAAGCATAAAAGCCTCTAAGTTCA